TTGGTGGTTATGGGGGTCAATGTTATGTTGAGTTGGTTGCAGAGTTTAATAGTGTTATAGAGGGAGGAGGGGATTTTTGGAGTCTTCTTGGTTTTAGTTAGATTTTTATAAATTTTTTCGATAGGTGAGTGTTTAGAGTTTAAAATTATTTTGAAGTTTTTTTGTGTGGCGTGTAATGCTCTAAATTTCAAGGGTCTTATGTTTGCTTCAAGTAATAAATTGTTTATTGGTGTTGTACGAACAGCGGAGAAGGTATGTCGGATAGCTGTGTGGTATAAAGTTTTAATTTTGTTTAGGGAGGACTTGGGGGCATTGCCATATAAATGTATTCCATAATCGACTTTGGACATCAAGATTGCTTTTACTACATAAAGGATGGTGGTAACATTGCATTCAAACTTGTTACTGGATAGGCATTTTATTATGTTAAGTCTTTTTGATAGTTGTAAAGTTAAGTTTTCAATGTGATTGTTCCATTTGTATTTCTTATTTATTGTTATTCCTAGGATTTTTAAGGTGTCTACATCCTGTAGTGTTATATTAGATGGGTGGAAGGGAAAGTTGCAGTTTCTCTTCCTGCATACAAGCAAATGTTTGCATTTGGTGTCTGAGTGTTTGGCTCCTGAGTAGTCACACCATACAAGGATTTCCCTAAATAGTGGATCTATGTTGAGATTAGTTGTTTTTTTGTTAAGCTTGTATATTATAGTGTAGTCGTCTGCATAGGCGGTGAATTGACAGTTCTTTTGTTTGGCTATTATTTGGTTTAACTTGTTGTAGGCTATAACAAACAGGATAACCGATAAGGGTGAACCTTGGCGTATACCGTTGTCTAAGGATTGTGATGTCGAGTATACCTTATTGGCAAGAACTGATATTTTTCTATTGGTGAGAAAGTTAAATATATATTTGGCTATTTTTGGTCCTATTTTCCAATCTTTGAGTTCGTCCATGATGCTGTGGATGCCTACCCTGTCAAAGGCTTTGGCAAAGTCTAAAGAGATGATAGAGGCATGATTTTTTGTTGACAGGGAGGATGTTATCTGATATTCTAGCATGGCTAGAGAATCAGAGACCGATTTTCCCTTTTTGAATCCGAATTGATGGCTGTCTAATAGCTTGCCATTTGAAGCTAGCCACCAAAGCCGTTTAGATATAATTTTATCCATGACTTTCGCTATGCATGGGTTGAGGGAGATAGGGCGATAAGAGTCAATGGAGGTTTTGTCCATATTTGGTTTGGGTATAGGAATGACAGTGCTCACTTTAAACTGCTGGGGGATTTGTGAGTTAAGGATGTTATTAAAAAGGTTGAGAAGTCTTTGCAGTAGGCTTGGAGATAGGTTTTTTATTATTGGGTAGCTAATACGATCTCGTCCCGGAGTCGTGCCTTTAAGTTGATTAATGGAAGCTAGCATTTCGATCATGGTAATATCTTTTTCAATACTAAGGGCAATAGTAGATGGGATGTGTGAGAAGTCGTGGGTTGAATTTGATTTTTGTTGAATGAAGGTTGGGGGAAAATTGTTGTCGAGTGCTGAGTTAGACCAATGGGTACTAAGTGTGTTGGCTATTTCATTATTATCAAGTATGTTTTGTGTGGGGTTATTGGGATCAGTAAGGCAGTGAATGTTGTGTCGTGTTTTTAAGCCACAGAAGCGGTTTATGTTTGACCATATTTTGAGGGTGGAGGACTTTGGGCTTATTTCAGCTGTATACTCTGTATACCATTTGGAGCTAAGAGAGAGTAAAGGTGATGCGATGGAGAGGTCTATGTGGGTGAAGGTATGGTGTGTAGTAAAGTGAGTTGGTGATCCGTTGTTAAGTGTTATTAGTGAGGATTGGTTAATAAATTTAAATATTATGTTGCCTCTAGTATTGTTGGCCTGTGAGCCCCAACTTCTATGCCAACTGTTAAAATCTCCTGTAATTAGGAAGGGTGGTTGTAGACTGTCGTAAATGTTTCTGAGGTTTTGGATTTTAAAAGATTTGTTGGGGGGTATGTAGGATGAGATTATGGTGAATTTGATTTTGGAGTGAACTTTTACTGCTATTGTGTCAAAGTCGGGTGCGTTAGTCGGTACGATTTGTTGTTGTATTGAGTTGTGGATTAGAAGTGCTACACCTCCATATCCGTTTATAGCCGTATTTTCGTGGTAAAAGGTATAGTTAATTGGGATAGGAATGTTTTGGGTGGAGTGTAGGTGGATTTCTTGTAATGATATTATTTTTGGGTTGTGGTTTTTAATAAGGACTTGCAACTGGCTATAATTGTTAATATACCCGTTTAAGTTCCATTGGAGGACTTTTAGCATTGTTAAAGTTAGGTTTTTGTTGATAGTGCTATATGGTTTTTTCTTGTATGTAGGCTAAGGTTAAATGCTGTCGCTATAGCTGTTAAGCAAATGGTTAGTGATTTTGTTGTTTTTCTTAGGTTTCTGTTCATTTTTTTCCTTAGATTTAAGGGGCTTGGCAAGTGTGTTTTGTTTGCTTGTGTAAATTTTAAGTTTGAGTTCTTCTGATAGGGATGAGCTGAGTGTTGATGTTGATTTTGATGTTGAGGCTAATGCGGGTGTGGTGTCCATGGGTATTTCGAGATCGTCGTATGATGTTGCTTTTCTTTGTTGTGGTTGGGCAGGTGTGATATTTTTGTATGGTTTGACTGCAGTTTGGTGATTGGAGAAGCAAGAAGGTGGTTTTGTGGGTATTGTTGCATTTTTGGTTGGTTGTTCTGCTGATATGGTAGAGTATAGTGCTGGTTGGTGTATGTGTCGGGTGTAGTATATTTTGATGGCTGTTTTGTGGTCAACTTTTTCTAGGGTTTTGATTGATGTCAGCTCTTTTTGCTTTATGAATGCTGGGCATGTTTTGTCAATTGGGCTGTGTTTGTTGGTTGGGAGGTCGTATTTGCAGTTTATGCAGAGCTTATCATTGGCACATGTTTCGTCATTGGATGTGTGTTTCTCTGCGGAGCAGTTGTTGCATAGTGTGTTTGATTTGCAAGCTGTTGTGGGGTGACCAAGTCTGAGGCAGTTGCGGCATCTGAGTGGGAGTGGTATGTATGGGCGTATGTTTACCTTTTCATAACCAATCATCATTGTCTCTGGGAGTGTCAGTGATGCGAATGTTATAATGATGAGTCCGGTTTCTTTTAGTTCGTTGTTATCCATTTTCTTAATTTTTCGTATTTCTGTGACGTTTTGCGATTTGAGTTCTTGCAATATGATTTCTTCTTCGATGTTTCTAAGATCATTTGAGTAAATTACTCCCTTGGAAAAGTTAAGAGTACTATGCTCACTAACTGATACGGGAAAGTCATGGAAGATGCTCAGCTTTATGAGTTTTATGGCTTGGAGTGTGTCTTTGGTCTTGATTAGTAGACCGCCAATTCTTGTTTTTTTGCACGATTCCACTAGACCATTGCATGTATAGTCAATTACTTTTTAGATTAGGAAGGGGGATACATTTTCAAATGTTTTATGGTCTGTTCTGTTTATGTTGATGAATTTCGGGCCGGTGTCGCTTAACTTGAAAAGTCTATTTATATCGGGGGGCATTGTTGTTGTTGTAGGGCAGGTGCCCTGCTGAGGTTTTTGGAACTGTTCAGTAGTTGTTTTGTTATTGTTTTTTTTTCGAAATTTGTTTTGTGCACTTGTACACTTGTTTTTGTTGTAGTTATTGTTTTTAACTGATAAGGGTTGGGTCTGGGGCTCGCTCGCTAGTCACACGTCTTTACTCCTCAAAGCTTAGAGTGAAACTGACTAAAATAAGTTAATAAATATATTACTATGCAAGGAAATAAACGGTTGACTTTTTATATCGAGTTAAAATTACAGGTACTGAGAATGGAAAATAATTCTTTGACTGAGATATATCGGCACCTTGTTAATTTTTGCGCGGTCGTGATTACAACCTATATTATGGGACGTGTTAGAGCTAGCAGTCAGCCGTGAGGTCGTTGGCGCGAGGCTCATAATCTTGTCAATGAGCGTGTGCCTTCAGGCTTGTGCATGTGTCCCTTTTATTGTGGGTAATGGACAGGTGCGCATGTTCGGGTAGCTCTTGCTTGAATCCCTTTAATGACATGTGTATGACCCGTTTGTGGAAAGGAGAGAATCTTAGACAATTTGCGTTTGAAATTATTCCACATCTGAGAATCATAAACTTGTGAGATTTATTTTATTGGCGCTCATTTGATTTCTTAATTAGTATTTTTCATAGAAAACATCTTTCCCCAACATGATCGGACATGTTCCTCTAAGACAACCATCTTTAGATGTTTTGGGTGTGCGACTTTTGTCTCGTACATAGCAACACTTGTTGTCATTGTTGTACACCTGATAATGAGCCAAAAGGTTATGTGATCACATCTTTCCCAACATAATCGGACATCAAAGAATACAGCCTTTGCATACTTTGGGTGTGCGACCTTTCTCACGTACATAGCAACACCTGTTGACTACTAGGTGCTCATAATGAGGGATAGGATGCATGATCAATATTGTCACGAAGTGTGCGAACTTTCTCACGTACACCAAAAAAACTGTTGAATATTAATTGCTCATAAAAGGTCACGTGATCAGTATTGTTACATTTGGATGTGGGGGTGGGGAAATTAACTATACTCTTTATGGACATGATCGTGATGGAATATGCTAATTGTCATAGAACCCGCATACATTAATGAGGGGCAGGATCATTAATATGCTAATTAGTAAGGGGCGGGGACCTTTAAAATGCTTATTAGAAAGGGGGCGGGAGCCATTAATGTGGAAATTGTCCCAGAATCCGTCTTTCCTAACTACTAATTAAAGTACAAGTCATTTTCTATAAAACTCCAATAATTAAAAAATAAAGCCCTTCTGTATCTTGATATAAATACATTTTTTAATCTTTATCATAATAAAAATTTAATAAATTAATGTACATGGCTAAGGTGAACAACGTCTGCGTGGCTTATATGGTTTCTCAAATTTCGACTTGTTGTAGTAATCGTCTTTCTACTCCTTTTCCTTTTGATCCCATCCCCTTTCTGGATCTGAAATTGAACGACGTTTTAAAACACGATTGACTTTTCGTTTTCGTTCCTTTATCCGGTTTATAAATATTTTTACTAAATCAAAGACAAATTTAATAGTTTTTAGTCCGTTATTCTATTTAAATTTAATTGTTTGGTTAGCAAAAGATGGCTTGTTTTATGAGACTTAAATTATGGGTGACAAATTTGTAAGTAAAGCTCGCAGACATTTTTTGACAAGGAATAAAATGGATGGATGGATGGTGTGGATACATGCATTTGATTTGGTGATAGAATTGGTATAAGCCCAGTGTTATTTGTTTTCACTGCATTATGCCGGAGCGATTTCAATTTTTTTTCCCAATTATAGGAATCGTTTCTTGACATTCATATTTTCGTATCTTTTAAGACGTTGTATTGTATTTTATAACTATGGTTTTGGAATGTTAGGCTAGCTATCGAAGTTAAGGACACATTTATTATAGAACACTAGAAACAATCGATACCTACATCAGATGAAAAAATAAGAAAAAAGGAAATGTTTTTACACTAGTTTAAGTGGATGATATTACTATGTGGTCTTAAAATCTATCAACAAGAATCGAAATTGTTTATGAAACCAGCTTCTATACAGCTACTGTTGCTCTTGTGATTCTTAATTATTGTTTCAATCACAGGATACACCTTTCCCCAACATGATCGGACATGTTCCTTTCAGATATCAATCTTCAGATATTTTTGGTGTGCGACCTTTCTCACGTACACAGCAAAAACGTTGAAATTCAGAGTGTAAGTTTTAACTTCGCTTCGGAAGTCGTCTAGAGGACAAGAATTTTAGACCACTCTTAACAAAAGGCTATAGCAGCTCATAACAGTTAATACCAACTAGTAACCAGCTAAAACAAACTAGTAAACAACTAGTACACAGCTACAAAACAGAGAACAGCTCATTACAGTTAATAGCAGCTAGTAACCAACTAAAATGAACTAGTAAACGACTAGTAAACCTCTACTAAACAGATAGTAACCAGCTAAAACCAACTCGTAAACAGCTAGTATACGACTAGTGATCAGCTAATAACAGCTAGTAAACAGCTCCTGCATAGTTAGTAACCATCCTTTAACAGCTAAGACCAGTTAATAACAATTAGTAAGCATTGCTACGAATTCACACACTCGTGTGGCAATGGATCATCGCAGGCCGCGCAATACGATCCCCTATTGTCAAGGCTGTCCGTAAAAAGTAATGTCATTATTCTTGACCTACTCCACTTCTCATGTCAGCGCACCCCCCCTTAATAAAGCTCTAGCACTTCATGTTCTTGATATTCTTTTACATTATAAATTTATTGGGTAATATTTATATCGGCGTGCGCCGTGGATAAGTAACAAATGTTGGCTAATTCATATGTGATTTTTTTTTTGTAATGCTTTGCTATTTATTTATTCAATCTTCTCCCTTTGGATACTAACAATAAGTGTATCAAATCTTAAACTAATTAATCTAACTAACAGTCATATGACTGATATTATGCTAAAGGGGGCCCGAAAGTTATTGCTGGCTTGGCAGGTCGTTGCGTTGTAGACGTGATCACTGGAAACCCAAGTCAAGACTCTTGCGAGTCGATTGGGGTGCACAGAGAGTATTTCATTGCAGGACGCTTTTTATTTGTCTATTTCATCTTTTACGGTAAGGTCCCTGTGGATGTGTTCGTTGCGAATATACCATGGTGCCCCAGTGATAGTTCGCAGGATTTTCGATTGAACGCGCTGTATAATGTCTATGTTGCTGCTGCTGGCAGCCATGTGTCCAGATGGGCTTTAGTAGTCCAGACGCAGGGGCGAACGAGCGTTAAGAATCCAGTGGAAGCTACTGGCCTTTAGTTTTAGATGTATTTTCTTGCGTTCGATGTGTCTTCTCCAGGTTAGTCGTCTATCAAGGTGGACGCCGAGATACGTTACATCGTTGACTTGAGAAATCTGCGTATTACTCAATGATAGCGGAGGGCATGTTTGCCTGTTGAGAGTAAACGTTATGTGTTTACATTTTTGTTCAATTATTTTAATCCGCCAATCAGATAGCCACCTCTCTACTAGGGAGAGGTGGTTTGCTAGCTGTGATGTGGTTTGGCCTGGGCGAACGTAGATGTTGTTAGCTGCTCGTTCGTGGGAATATCAGCTGTGTATAGGAGGAAAAGAGTAGGCCCTAGAGCGCTTCCTTGCGGGAATATAGTTTTGATAATGTATTCGTCGGATGTTGTTGTGTTGCACCTTACTGCGAAGGTTCTGTTGTATAGATACGACTCAAGAAGCTTCTGAGTGTAATCTGGCAAGTGTGTTTTAATTTTGTGCATGAGGCCATCTAGCCATACTCGATCGAAGGCTTGAGATACATCGAGGAATATTGCGCTGCAGTATTCCCGATGCTCAAAGGCTGTGCGTATTTCTGATGTTATTCTGTTACCTTGTTCGATTGTTCCATGGTTTTGACGAAATCCAAATTGATGAGCAGGGATAACATTGTGTGCTCCTAGATATGGTGTTATGCGAGTTAGAAGGCATTTTTCGAACAGCTTAGTCTGTAGGATGACGGAATTGTGTGGTCTTTCCGGGCTTCGGTATCATAATGATAATAGATTTTTTCCATTTTTTCGGATAGTAGCTGAGAGTTATAATCCCATTGAAGAGCTTACAAATAACCTCAATGGCAGAGTTTGGAAGTTCAATTAACATATATGGGTTATTTGGTCACCGCCAGGGGCCTTTTTCGGTTTCTGTTCCCCAATGACTTTCACGATCTCCTTTGGCTGAAACAGTGGTGGTAGAGAAATAGATTCAGATTCGATTTGTGATAGGAAAAATGAACCAGTGGCAGTCGATGTCCGCTTCGATGTTGAAGTGAGGGGTTAATTTGATGTGTGAGCTTACATACTTTTTATGTTTTAACCAGTTGGTTCTGTGCGACGTCAGCCTGAGGGGGTGATCTGTGGTTTTTGTGCTTTGAAGAAGAGTTATTAGCACTGGCGAATGGTCTGACGACAGATCCGAAAGCGCTTTGGCGCTTATTATATTGAACTTTTGGAACTTTCCTGGGGTCTGTTGGCCAGTATGTGGAGCTGCCAGGGGAAACATAGTCTAATTTGTTGTTCAGTTTTATGATTGCATTGTATAATTGTCTTCCTTTGGGAGTCACAAGGCGTGATCCCCAGTGCGTGTGTTTGGCATTATAGTCCCCTGCAGCTATAAAGCGACCTCCAAGCAAGTTGTAGAAGTCCATGAATTGTCCTTCAGGAATTGTAAAGCGAGGCGGGCAGTAGACAGTGGCTATGATGAGGTTTCCGTTGCCTGACTGCACTTTGATAGACGTGGCTTGCAAGTATTTTGTTGAAAACCTTTGGTGAAAGTGGTGATTGATGCGTTCCCTGATTAGGATGCCGGTTCCGCCGTGGGCTTTACCATCTGGATGGTCTGTGCGGTAGAAAGTGTAGCCTCTTATTTGAAAGTTGTATTTGTTTGTGTGGTGCGTCTCTACCAGTAAAATAATGTCGATATGATTATCATTCAGGAACTGTGTTACTTCAAGGTTGTGCCGTAAAACGCTATTGGCGTTCCACATTGTTATTCGTAGACTTGCCATCTGTTATTTAGACTGCTTACCTGCAAGGAGCTGTAACACCATGTTCTGGTTTTGAACCAGTGTTTGCATGGTCTTTTTCATGAATGACATGAATTCCATCATACTTTGCTGCATGGTGGCCATCATAGATTCCAGAGTGCTTTGTGACTGTGCTTGGATCTGCTGAGCGTTTCCTAGATTAGACTGGAGTGGGTTTTCCGTCCCTGATCGAAGGGCATCGGCGTATGAGAGGCCCTTCTGGGTGTTTAGTTGACCAAATGAGGATCTTGCAGCCGTGCCGAAAAAATACTTCCGGCGTCGTAAGCGAGTAAGTGTACGCATTTTGGGTATTCTGATGACGCGTTGATGTCACTTTGTAAACCGGACAGCCCCTGTAGTTTGCCGTGTGGTTACCTTGGCAGCTAACGCATTTTTTCTTTTTGAGGTCTTCTTTGTTGGCAGGGCAGTTAGCCGAATTGTAAAAGTCTCCATAACCTAAACAAACTGTTCGAAGTGAACAGTATGCCCTGGTGTGTCCATAGTCCTGACTATTTGTGCAGAGCACTGGTCCGTTCCTTTTATGTGCCTCTTTCACGTTGATTCTTCGGTGCAATAAGTATTGCAGGTTATAAATGGGATGCACTTCATTTTTCGTCAAGACTCTGCTGTCTGTCTCCAGCTCGACCCTGAAGAGTGGTTGAGGCTCTTTTTTCCTGTTTATAATTTTACTGACAATCTTTGCAGAAACTCATTTTTCCTTGAGATCATCGATGACTTCCTTGGCGGTTACGTCGGGCTCGATTCCTTTAAGTACCACTTGCAGGCCCTTGCTGCTTTTTAGTTGGTACGTGTAGTAGTTTTTTTTTAGCTTCTTCCAGGTATTTGGATCAGCTCGGAAATGTTCTTCAGATTGGTTTCATGGATATACCCTTTTGTGACCGGAACAACATGAAAGTTTCCGTCCCCGGTCAGCGCAACAATTTTGTTGACCAGGGCGTTCGAGAATTTCTTCCTTATGTACATTGGTGGGGGCTTAGCTTTCGGTTGGGTCTCCTGAGCCTGTTCTGGTTCATTTTCATCTAGAAGTGCAAATCTATTGCTGTTGGATCTCCCGGGTAATTTATTTTCTATTTGGACACGGTTTATTTTTGACTTGTTACCTACCGCGGTGTTCTGCGGGCTAAGCTTACGCTTGACATGAATGTACCGGTCTAGTCCGGTCTGTATGGCCGGACCCGCTTGCTGAATTTTGTTTTGGTTTTGATTTGTAGTCGTGGTTTTGTTTCCGTTGAATTTAGAGCTACGATTGCAGTCGATTCCGAAGTAATAGCCGTAGCTGTGGTTGGTGTTTTTTTTTGTAGCTGTTGTTGTTGCTGACAAATTTAGTGTGGATGCAGAAGTTTTACCGTTGCATGTTGTTGGTGCACCAGGGGTCGACACTGATGGTGGTGGGTTTTGCATTGTTGACTCCACGCCGTCGGAGTGGGCGTAGCCGTAAGTAAGCATGGTGAGCAAGACCGTGCTCTTTGGCTATCGACCGACAGTAGGGTCATTTTTTGAACTTCGCTATCACGCGTTGAGACATACGAAAAGTAACCGTCTCTTCGGCTCGAAGCTAGTAGTAGAATAACACGGCTCTTGGCTCACTAGGTAATAAATCATGTCAAAAAAGGGGGTGGAGGTGACCCTAATTAGTCACGCATGGTTGCACACAGGTGTTTTAATGACCTAATTAGCATAATTAAGTAATAAATCACGTCAAGAAAGGGGGTTGAGGTGACCCTAATTAGTCACGCATGGTTGCACACAGGTGTTTTAATGAGCTAATTATAATAATTAAGTAACTAAAGTGTGGAAAAAGGTGGTGGGGTGAGGATCACCCCCAAAGAAATGGTGAAAGTTGGGGTGGGGTGTTTTGTCATGTCTTGTCTTGTCTTGTCTTTTTTCACCCCAAAGATGTGTGTGTGTGAGGGGTGTTTTGTCATGCGTAAAAATGTGTGGTTGTTTAGAGTGATCTTTACCCTAATAGGGTGTGTAGGACTGTGAGAGAGGGGTGTTTTGTCATGCGTAGGAAATTGTGATTGCTTGTGTGTGAGGGGTGTTTTGTCATGCGTAGGAATTTGTGGTTGTCTAGAGTGATCTTAGCCCGAGTAGGAGTGTTAGAGGGGTGTTTTGCCATGCGTAGGAATTTGTAAAACGATACTTAGGCAGAGGAGGAGGAGGAGGGGGGAAGTTGTTTATTATGCTTGCCCTTTTTTCATGTGTAAGAATTTGTAAAACGATATTTAGGAGGAGGGGGAAGTTGTCTTATTATGCGTGGCAGTTTTGTTGATTCAATTAGGGTTTTAGATGATATCTTTTAGTGTAAACTGTCTTCGGTCTTGTGGTCAAAAGGTGTTGGTTTGAAGGATATTTGACCGCAAACTTTTGTGGTGTGAAACAAGCGTGAGTTCGAGATCCTCACCCTCTTTAGCGAGCATTAGATGGGGAAAGTGAAAGTGAATATCTAAAGTATGTTGCTTCTAACTTGTATTAAGTTAAGGGGAGGGTAATCTTAAATGTTTCAATTCTATAGTGGAGGTGGAGGTGGTGGTGGTGGTGGTGGTGGTGGTGGTGGTGGTGGTGGTGGTGGTGGCGGTGGTTCCTAACAGAATATACACAAAAACAAATGAGATCGTTTATTAAGTCAAATACGTTTTTATTTAATCATATTTGATAATTTAAAGTACTGTATAAACCAAATATTACAATTCACATTTTTATAAAATTCTTATTTAACAGAACAAACATCGCTTTTTTTTAGAGGTTAATGTTAAAATTTAAGAAAATATATTAACCAAATAATACAATTCAGAACATTATAAAATTTTTATTTAACAGACCAATTACAATATTTTCTTGGAACTACATTCAATTTGCTTACTTTCATCTTTATTTAGTGTTATAGTTTGATTATAGTTATCTATACCACCCTCTAATCTATGCACTTTATTGTCATCATTACTTAAAGGAATTGATTTAATGTATTCATCATTATCTTCATCTAAATTAAACGGTATAGTTTGTACGTAGTTATCTATACCACCCTCAACAACAATAGTTTTATCCTCACTAGATGATTTAGAATACATGCCTCCGGATTATCATCATCATAAAGGATTACACGTTACATCATCATACAAATCAAGAAAAACTTTGCCAACCTCTTTTTTATTAATGTTTTGGAGTTCTGAAAATATGAATATTATTAGTATATATTAATTATTAGTATATATAAAAATATTATTTTGTAAATATATATAAAACTCACCTTTTTTTAATTTACTCAGACTATTATTTTCATCTTCTTTTTTTATATTCTGCAAAAAGAAACATATTTCCCTACTCAATCTGATTATGATATAATATCACTATTAGTTATTTTGAAATCGTTAATATCGTTAATTGGTATTTTATCTGTGCTAATCTCACTTTCTTTTTTATTTTAATATTCAATCATTATTTGAGCTGCTAAATTTATCTTTCTTAAATACAACCCATTAGTTCTTTCTGCTTCATCGATTTCAATTTCATGGATTTGTGGACGATCACTAAGATAACCTGGTTCTACTTCTTTTTCATCTATCCCTTCTCGTTTACTCTCTTGTTTGGAAAGAAGATCAGCATCTTTCGATATTCTTTCATAAACTATGCTATATTTCCGTCTCTCTGCATTAATTACTGAATGGGACAAAACTTCTGCAAATTCAAAACAATTAATTCTCAACGTTGCTAGGGGGCTATTAATATTGCGTTTAGATTTTCGGTGGCGGGAGCGGGTAGATAAATATTTTAAATTTGTACGTTTACATTTACTCAGACTTCGCCTAGAATGTGATCTTCTATATATATTATTATAATGGCATTTAACTCCTACCGTAGAACTTTTGTATTGGACGGTGAAGAATCTGTTTAGACCCCTCCTTCCTAAATCCATATGTCCTCCTATTCTCCTTTCATTCTCAACTTATTTTTGTTTAAAATTCTCTATTATTCCTCTCTTTGTAAATTTGATCTGTGAATTTTGCACGTTTTCAGTGCTTTTTAATTTTTGAATAGTGTTTCTTTTTATTGGAACCCGACTTACACTTTCAAATTCTGTATTACTATCATTGATTCCCAACACTAATTCTTGTGATGTTTTACTAATTGTAGGTGCTCGACTTACATTTTCAAATTCTGCCTCCCTATCATTTATACCAATATAATTTTTTTCGATTTTTCATCTCCTATGTTTTTATTTTCTATTTGATCAAAATTTGTATTTTCGCTATTAAAATCAAAAAGATTGGGTGGGTAGTTGTTACAGATGTAGTTGTTGAAGATGTTGTTGTTGTTTCTTCTTCCAGAATTTCTCTTTTTAATGTAGTTGTTGCAGATGTAGTTGTTGAAGATGTAGTTGTTTCTTCTTCCTCCTCCAGAATTCCCCTTCTCATTGTAGGTGTACTTGCAGTTGCTGTAGTTGTTGTAGGTGTACTTGCAGTTGCTGTAGTTGTTGTTGTTGCTGAAGTTGTTTCTTCGTCAACTATGCTTGCACTTGTACTTGTTGTTAAGTCATTTTCATTAATGCTACTTTTAATAGCATTAAATATTTGAGTATCGAGTTTACTTTTTAAGTTTGTTTTCTCTTGTCTTGTTTATGAGATCCATAAAAATATGGCTATCCTCTAGGATCTCAAATTTTAAGTCAATATTAATGATTTTTTTTTTAATTTTGGAACATTGACATATAACCCAATCGAATTATTGGAAGTCGATGGGTTTTCAATTAAAGTCATTTCATTGGGGAGTGGTATCATTTTCACCATCGGACTAAAGAGGGAAAGTATTAAAAAAAAATATTATAAGAACCGTTATTTTTTTTGTTTTTTTTTTCACAAGCGAACAAACGAACGAACGAATGAGCAAACGATCCCGAAATTGAACGAATAGATGAAAACTGAATACTTTTTGAAATTCTTCCCCCTTTATAGCCTCCAGATTTGTATATATAAATATATATATACATGAGTTGATTTCTATGCTTCCACTTGTTGTTTTTCTGAATCCCACTATCTTTTGAGTTCAAGTTCCATCCAAAATTCTTATCTGTACATGCTCTTTTAGTCTAGCCACACGCACAAGCTCATAATCAAGTTCCATCAAAAATTCTTATGCTCTTTTAGTCTAGCCACACGCACAAGCTCAAAATAGAGTTCCGTTCAAATTCTGATCTGTACATGCTTTTCTTCACACTTTATTAATAGAAATTGTGCGCGTGAAGAAACATAATTTGATTTCACGCACTGACGTCAATGCCTACACTTTAATTGTTCTATGGTTCCACTTGTTCTTTATAGAATTTCGTTTTTATGAATCCAACTATCTTTTGATTTTGAAAAGCCTAGCCAACGCACAAGCACATAATCATCTTTTTGTTTCAGAATCTTTTCAACAAGATAAGTATTAGTATTTTCAAAGACATGTTTATATTTTCATATTGGACATGATCTCCCTCTTAAAAGTCCCCATTTGTAAATATTTTTAGATGATTGTATGATCTCATCCAAATCTGTTTTTCATTTTTAGCATTTACATCAATGGGCTTCATTTTAATCGTTCTATGCTTCCTGTTATTATAATTATTAATCAACTTATTGTATATTTGAAGGCAAGTACATTTTCCATTAATGCTTTAAGAGTACTAAATGTGTAGTAATCATTAATTTTATATCTTTTCATCAATTCTCTAAATTGTTTATTATAGAATTCATTTCCATTATCTGTTTGTAAATCCTTTGGTTATTTTTTCCATTGCTTTTGTAACTTCTTATGCATTTTTTGATTTTATTTCTTCACCCCATCCATATTTAGAAAATGTATCTATTACTGTTAACAAATACCTATAGCCTTTAGTATACCCGTTACTCGTAGAGTAAAAGGGTATACTAGATTCGCCGAAAAGTATGTAACAGGCAGAAGGAAGCGTTTCCGACCCCATAAAGTATATATATTCTTGATCAGGATCACTAGCCGAGTCGATCTAGCCATGTCCGTCTGTCCGTCTGTCTGTCTGTTCGGATGAACGCTGAGATCTCGGAAACTATAAGAGATAGGCTATTGAGATTTGGCGTGCAGATTCCTTAGCTTCTTACGCAGCGCAAGTTTGATTCAGCTCCTACAGTTTTGATGATAGAGGTACTCGACTATAGCGTTCTTCCTTGTTTGATGATGCATATGCCCCCATTTCAACGAAATCAGCCTGTCATAAATCATTAATACCCTTTACTATAACTCTACGTCTTGGGAAATTCTTGAATGATGGGCGATGTAATTCATTTACAATATCTCGTTTACTCATAGCTTTATTTTATTTGGTATAAATGGTTTCTTCTCTAAAGATTCAGTTTCACGTTTTAAATTTGAGGTTGGTGCAATTATATAATTGAAAATGTTACTTTCTATTTCATTTGTATCATCCACTATCTTATTAATAATTTTCATGAGAAATTCCATTTTTTTAGAAATATCACTCCCTTTTCCCTCAATGTTATTGATTCGAGGTCTTAGTCTAAAGATTTCTTGCTTCTGCGGTTGCTTAGAAATTTCATTAGATGTATTCTGTACTAGTTTACTTATTTCATCATCAATATAAAATTTTGTTGCAATATCATTTTCATGAATTGGGGTTAGGGAATTTTAAAACGTTTCCTCTGAACATTGAAATGTCCATCATAATCATTAAGTATACTATGGAATTTTTCTACACCTTTTGTTATATCTCTTGAGTACTCTTTCTAATTTAAAAAACAACCAAACTTATCAACTGACATTTTAATTATAAAATAAGTAATGAAAGAATGGAATATTTATGTGTATCACATTAGTTGTTAAAACTTCTTCTTCGTTTTCACGACGTGAAAATTGACTTTTTCGAAGTATTGTTCCATCTATTTCTATCTGATCAGAACGAATGATTGGTGGAAGGTTTTTTAAATGTTGGTTTATGAATTTGTTAAGATTTTCCAATTTATCAAGAAGCTTTTTTAATGAATTATGTATATACTCCATTTGAGTTATCATTTGTATTACTTTACTTCTTCTTCGTTTTCACGACGTAAAAATTGACTTTTTCGAAGTATTGTTCATTTGTATCTGATCAGAACGAATGATTGGTGGAGGGTTTTTAGATGTTGGTTTATGAATTTGTTAAGATTTTCCAATTTATCAAGAAGCTCTTTTAATATATTATGTATATACTCCATTTGAGTTATCATTTTTATTACTTTACTTTCCAGCTCTGATACTCCGTTATTTCTTTTTAATGAATTTCTACTTTTCGTTAACTGTTCTAAAAGTTTACGCTTCATTGTTGTCGTTCCCTCTGATACTCATGTGCTACTGGGAAAAATGTAGTATAACTTAAATAATTATAAAAAAGGGTTTGAGTTTGAGTTTGATGAAATTTTATTTTTGTTTTTATTCATCAAAATAGATACATTCATAATATTAAAAATGAATACATTTTAAGATTTATTTATTTCTAAATAGATGTTGTTATCATTCCTTTTAATAATAGAAAAAAGAGTATTCTTTATATATTCAATTGTTGAATCCTCTAAAGTTGAGTATCGTTCCGGCAGTACAGCATATACTCTTCAAGTTCAAGAGTGAGGGCCTTTCCAAAGCTGGTTTTCTTACGTTGAGCTCGTCGAATAGGGTACCGCACGTCCGATTCCATCTTCGTCTTTGTTAAAAGAGGTTTTGGTGCGTTTCCATTAAAATCCTTGATTACTTTCATCATTTCCGGAATGACCATTTGTAGTTGTTTCTTCTTGTATTTGCTTTTGTAGTTTTTTCTCCTTGTAGTTGTTGTTGCTGTTGTTGTTTTCAGCTGTTCCTAGCAGTTGTAGCTGTTTTTGATGTTGTTGTTTTACTGTTTTTACTGTTTTTGATGTCGTTGTTGTTGTTTTTGATGTTCACAAGATGTTTTAGGTTGAAACTTTAGGTTGAGAACGTTTTAGCTTGAAACTTTTAGGTTGAGACTGTTTGCAGTTTTGATCGAGTTTTTATACCTTAAGGTAAACTAACCCTCCCTTTTCTATTTCATTCTTGATTTAGAATCGACGAATCATAGCAGCGAATAGCATGTAAAGTGGGCGGGTTTCAAAAATCGTAGAGAAATTACTTGACCATAAAGAAAAGTTAGGGTGGGATAGAGAGTAAGAATTGGAGGGACAGGTGTCCACAGTTGGTACTATTAAAGGCTTGTTTTCTCTCATAGTTATAGTTAACGTTATTCCCCAAGTATTTCACAATTTCTTTTGGGGGTTGTCGATTTCCAAAACTATCAAAGTAATGTATACTTTTTTTATTTTTGTTATAAGCTTCCAAATGTGTTCCATTTAATGAACTATCATCTAGGTTTATAATTCCTGACTCTTCTCTCCAAGGAGATTTTGGTAGTGAGTCTCTTATAAACACACCTCGGAAATGTGGAATGTACTTTTGAGCAAAATTCAAAATTTCGAAATTTGAAAGAGGTTTTTTAGGTAGCTTAGTAATTAGTTTTTTGGATTTCCTCTAAATGGATTAAGATATAATCCATAACCTTTTCTATAAGGTTTAAGAAACATACCTTCACCCACCTTAATACTTTCCTTTTTTTTATTTATTGTACTCTGTTGCCAAAAGTTTAAAACTTAAGGTACAGGGAGGACTCGGCCATAGTTGCCAAGACTTTCGGCCGGACTAAATTGTAATTACATGTTTACTTAATAACTAGAAATTTACATATGAATGGGAAGAGAAGGAGATTAACAATTTAAATGAGTTGAAGTAGGTCGGCTGATTTGAGAAAGTTGAGGATTTGCTGAAGATTGGCAAGCTGCAAAGTTGTTCGTTTTTGGGCGTATTCGTTGATGCTTATCATCTCTGGGTTAATGGCTTGGTACCAAGCAGATGCTTTCTGTTGTAGGTTTGTATTATTTTTAAGTATATTCGTTTTTAATAGTTTGTTAATGTCCGTGCAATTTCGATTTGGGATGGAATTAAGGGGTGATCTTGTTGCATCTTTCGCTGCTGTGTCGGCGCATTCATTTCCTTTGTTCCCAATGTGACTAGGGACCCATAGCAATATGATTTTTGGGGCGAGTTTTATGATTAAGTCCCGGATCGATGTAGTGTAAAATGACATGTTGTTACAATTAAGGACAGCTTCCAAGGTTGACAGTGAATCGGAGCAAATGCAGGTTTTACCTCTTTTCTTCTCGGCTATTCTAACAGCTTCCAGAATCGCGATTGCCTCTGCTGTGTATACTGAGTAGTAAGTTGGTAGGACAGCTTGCTTAACAATTTCTTCTTCTGTGGTAACTGCTAGACCTATTATTTCTTTGTTTCTGGAGCCATCGGTATATAGGAAGGAAATTTTCTTCTTTAAAAGGTTGTGTTTTATGTCCAGGAACTTTTTCAGGTAAACATCTTTGTTGTTAGTCGATTTTTTGGCACTGCTTAATTGTATGTCTA